CTGAGGATCGAACCCGGGCTGCACGCATGCCATGCGAGCGCACTACCGCTTGAGCCACATCCCCAGCCCCTACTTCATTATTCTTAAAGTCAGGGGATAAGGCATATTCAATTGTCACCTATTAGGTGTCTCAGAATCTTCTCATATAATACTCATATAACTAACATTTGTTTTAGAATCACAAGGACTTACAGAATACAGGATTGTGAGCGAGGTCATTCAAAGTGATTCCTCCTTCAGGATTGAACTCAAAACTGCTAGTGAAGTTGTACTTTGCAGTTCCCTCTGAAGAGACAGTAATTTTTGCAGAGTCTCCCAGAGTCACCTGATTGAATTCCGCTCGAACAAAAGTAACTGGAGTATCTCCTTTGTAACCTTTCTGTTGGCAGAAATATCACTTTATAATTAAATTCAAATAAAGACATTTCCTACACATCTGACAACCCATTTTGACTCAGGATAAATAGCATTTTCTTTTCTTCTTCTTTTCCCTAACAAGCTATGTCACAAAAACAGGGAAAGTAGAAAATCATTAAACAAATTTATTTATAGCTAAATGTAATATTCCATTTAAATATCATTAAAGTTTTAAAATTTTTTGTAGTTGTAGATGGACAGAATGCCTTTATTTTGTTTATTTTTATGTGGTGCTAAGGATCGAACTCAGTGCCTCATGTATGGTAGGCAAGTGCTCTACCACTGAGCCCCAGCTCCAGCCTATATTAAAGTTTTTTAATATAACATTTATTGTGTTTTGTCTGACTTTAAAAGTATATTGTGGGGGGCTGGCAATGTGGCTTAGTAATAGAGCACTTGCTTAGTGTGCAGAAGGCCTGGTTTCAATCACCAACATTGGCAAAATGAGAAAATCAGAGGAAAATGAATTGCCTATAATCTTACTCTAACACGTAAGCATTATTAATACATTAGTATATTTCAGTATTTTGCTGTAAATATACATTTTTATACACACATTTTAAAACAAGTGGAGTTTACTAATTATGTCCTCTTTTGGAACAAGCTTTTTAAAGTTCATAATCCTGAATATTTTTTCATTATTCTCTTAATTTTGTTTTCAGTACTGGGGATTGAACCCATAGTCCCACAAATGCTA